TGCGAGGGGCAGGGGGCGTGTCGTGGAGTTGGAGGGCTGGCAGGGGCGTGGAGAATGCGGAGCGGGTGGATATGTGGGGTGGGGCACGAACAGGGGGGGTGCATGCACCAGAAGCGGGCTGGCAGAATGGCGGCGGCGGCGGCGGCTGTAGCGTGCCTCACCCGGTGACCAGGTCCCAGACCTCGATGGGCCAGGAGAAGGAGGAGAGGGAGGGCGGGATGCAGGAGCCCTGGCGCGGGTTGATGTAGGTGGGCCCGCGCTCCTTCTGCACGGTGGAGCAAGGGGTGGTACGAGCAGATTGGGTGGCACAACGGCACAGAGTCAACAGGCGGAAACAAAGATATGAACGGGGGACACCGATGGACGGATCGATTCAGACGGCAATTCATTGCAGGCAGCGGTTGGCATGAAGGACAAATCCCAGTCTGTGAAAATGATCGAAATTGATCGAAACCCCAAGTGGCAGAAACGAAAATTCAACCAGCACACGAAGTTTTCACGTTTTAGCGGTTTCCAGCCGACAAGACGCGTTTCTTTGACCGAACCGGGTCGTTGACCGAACCGGGTCACCCCGGTCACGGGGACTAAAATTTGCCACCATCCCCAGCTGTGGTCAGCCCGCTTGCCTGGTAGTAAAAGTTGGGCACCCGCACCATCTGGCCGTGCGTGACGGTGAAGCTCTCGATGGAGATGATGAACTTGGGGTCGGGCAGCGGGTTCTCTGCAGCCACAGCCAGGCAGGGCGCACGAGGGCAGCGATGAGGAGCAGCCGGTAGCGCTAGAACACTCCTGCCTGAAGAGTGCCCCACCCTACCCCCTGCCGCTCCATTACCGCCCCACTTGCACATGCGGCACAGGGCCTTCCCGCAGTCCTGTTCCCCTCGGCCACCACCTGCCTCCCGCCCACCGCCCACCGCACTCCCACACCCGCCGCTCTGCGCCGCGCCACCCACCCTTGCGCGGCGGCAGGTTGTCCTCCGCATCCAGCAGCAGCGGGTTGAGGTTGGTCTGCAGCGCATCCTCCACCACCAGAGGCACCCGGGGCGAGGCGGGCCCCTCGGCGCTGGGCCCAGCCGCCGCCTCCCCCCTCGGCCGCTCAAGCGCCACCTCCGGCGTGGT